CACTTTCAGCTTGTGTTTTATTTATGAGGTGCAACTCAAGCAGGCATGTCACAAAAAGAGGAAATCTGTCATTTCCACATGACAGTGGGAACGCTCTATTTTAATAGTCTGCTGTGAATAGTCGCTGAGGCCTATTAGTCATATTCAAATGGGTGTTTGCTGTCGAATATTATGAAATACAGTCAAATGGGGGTGAAATATAACAGTCTAATAGCTATATAATAACCATGTATTACCAGGGAGGTGTGGCTTTCCATGTACGTTAAATATGTTTGTATTTGTATTTGAGCACTGCCTTTTATGTTATGAGCTGATGTTTTTCAACATTGCAAACATGTAATTTATTATACATATGGTATAATATTTGTATTCATTAATCCGTCTAAAGTGACTCAGGATTCATAATATTGTTTGATGTTGTTGATTTGCATCATCTTTCCTCATCTAAACATCCAAGAGCAGGACAAATGTTCAAACACTGACCTCCAGTCACCTCCAGTTCTTCGCAGCAATCCAAGTGCTTGAGATACATTTTAGATCCCTGTGTCTGTGAACGGCTCACGTACCCTTATGACCACACTAATGATAAGAGAAAGGAGCAGAGAGCAGCGATAAAACTTCATTAAACAAACCCTTGACCCTTGTGACACAGGGTTGATCTATTTCCTTTAAGTCCCTTCCTTTCACCAAAAGAATGGAGATCACACAGTTAGATTATTGTGCACCTATCGCTCCATCTTTAATTTAGAAATGCAGGAGGACTGCACACAGGCTAGATGGTTATCCATCTGAGCTGTCTGTCTTGTCACTTTGTGCATGTTGGACGGACAAAAGTTGCCTTTGGGACCACATGAAAAGCCCTTCAAAAGCTTTCCTAATGTCTGACCCACTACAATGTAGTTCCCATGTCTAAATCAGCTGCATTTGCCAAAAGTGTTCTTCGCCTTGGCTCACTTTCTTGGCTCTTTCCCATGAGGCGGTAAAAGAGAGAAAGCAAGGGCGGCCAGAACGCAGCTACATGGAAGATGTGTCTCGATCAAGGACACTTAGACTCGGGTCTGGTTAGATCAAAGAAACGATGGCCTTCAGAATAATTACACAGATAAGCAGCCGATGGCTGTCTCATTCCAAAGTCTCCCGCAGCCCCGTGCATTTGGAGGGAACCCAACCTCTTTTATTTTATGAGGAAACACATTTTTCTCCCTGTCTACGGCAATTGTTGTGCCACGTTGAGGTGACGTCGTCACACCAAGGTCAGAGACTATTTTCTATGTTCCAAAGAAAGTTAGTTCTTTAGTTGCTTGCGAGATCAATACAGTTTAAACATGCTTTGTTATAAATTAACTAGAATTTGATGGAAAAAGGTATTGTGATTGGTGTTGAACAGGAAAAAGCTTGAATGGTGCATCCCCACTTAAAATCAATCCACAATGAGTGTCACATTCAAATGTGAATATTTTAACTTCTGTTGTGACTTTTGCTGCTGCTGAGGATGATGATGAGGATGCTTCAACACATTTCATTCTTGTGGCTTCTATGAAAAGACCTAAAAAAATACTGCAAATTGTCTTAAAGGAAGAGCTTTGGATCGATAGGTTTTTCATTACAGTTATGTTTTCATACTGCAGTTGGGGCAGGGGGCTATGGCTGTTGGCTATTGATGTATGAATGATACATCAACAATCCTGTCCTATCTCTCCCCCCGAGGCTTGTCACTGCAATGAGGGCGATCAAGAGCCGCCGTCCCCCAGTCAACAGAAGCTGCCCGTTTTGTCATTGTAGATTATAGGCAATGTCGTGGCTTTGCAGGGGGCAAATACCACAGGCGTGATCTTTGTGAGTGTGCTGTGTTATTGAATAATCTCTGCTCTCTGTGTCCACTTTGAGGAGAAAGTTAAGCAGCTTTGCCAACATCCCAGAAAATATGGCCCGAGTCGTCATTGTTTGATGGCAAATTTATTTTCTCCCAACGATATACAAAAATACACAGAACGTTTGCTTTAATTGTTAAGTGAGGTTTTGGGTACTTTTGACACAAAAGAGTGTATTCACAGCCATAGATCCTGTGTGTGAGAACAGTGTATGTGGTCTAAATAAGGGCTATCATTGTAGAGAAACCTGACATCACTTTCATCATGCTAATGTATGATTTTTATTATAGTCCCTATACCAGAGTGACATAATGCAACATTAAGTGCAACCTTGGCAAAAGAAAAAAAGTCACTTAAGCTGTGTGTTAAGCTAAATAGTATTATATATATATATATATATATATATATATATATATATATATATATATATATATATAAATGCCAGGGATAAGTTGTCCATTTGTTCTGGGCTTAAATTGATGTCCTACTCCTTTTTCTCTTATTGATGTAAATTACAAGCATTCAGTAAGCTCTTACACAAGCATTTTCATAGTTTATGTCATAATTACAGGTAGTTTTGTAGTTATAATGTCCTCACTGTTGGACAAATAAAGGTTACATTCATTCATTCAAGCCTCCGACTGCTATGTTACAAATACATACTACACAAAGCTGCACATTTATTACCTATTGGGCTGTAGTCTATTATGCAATTTTTCTTTACTGCTTCCAATCTCGCCCACAAAACAGTTTGTGCTTCCCAATTGGCCTGTAGCAGTTCCTTGATACATCACATCTAATTGTTATTGTAGTAGTAGTAGTAGTAAGGCAAGGCAAGGCAAGTTTATTTATATAGCACAATTCATACACAAGGCAATTCAAAGTGCTGAACAGAACAAGAAAGCATTAAAATCATAAATAATCACAGTACATTAAAAAAAAGATAAAAATATAAAATCCCTCAGTTGTATGCACAGCTAAACAGAACTGTCTTTAACCTGGTTTTAAACATTGTCAGAGAGGAGGCCTGTCTCACATCTTCAGGAAGACTGTTCCAGATTTTAGCAGCATGAATCTGAAAAGCAGCCTCCCCATGTTTAGTTCTGACTCTGGGCACTAACAGGAGTCCAGTCCCTGTGCTCCTCAGAGTCCGGGCTGGTTCATATGGGACTAACATGTCACTAATATAGTTTGGTGCGAGGCCATGGAGAGATTTGTACACAAGCAGAGCTGTTTTAAAGTCTATTCTCTGAGCCACAGGAAGCCAGTGCAGAGACCTGAGGACTGGACTAATGTGGTCGTACTTCCTGGTTCTAGTCAGGACTCGAGCTGCTGCATTTTGAATGTACTGCAGCTGTTTTACAGCCTGTTTTGACAGACCTGTGAGCAGGCCATTGCAGTAGTCTAACCTACTGGAGACAAATGCATGGATAAGAATCTCCAAGTCTGCTTTAGACACTATGTTTTTGATCCTGGCAATGTTTTTTAGATGGTAAAAAGCTGCTGATGTTACTGATTTGATGTGGCTATTAAAATTTAAGTCTGAGTCCAGTATTACCCCTAGATTTCTGACCTACTAGTAGTAGCAGTAGTAGCAGTTGCCATACACTCACTGACTCAGAGAGCCCAGAATGAAATGTAAATGTGTAAAATATGCATTTCTAATCAAACAAGCTATCGTGTTACAACTGTTCTCTATGCTCTCCTGTAGCATACTTGTGGTTTCGCCCCACTCCTTCATTATTAAAGCATAATTATTTTAAGTTACTTAGTTAGTTAGTTAGTTGCTTACTTATTATTTTCATTCCTATGTCTAACCAAATCCAATTCAAATCAATGTATTCTTGTAAAGCCCTAAATCACAACAGTAATATCTCAGAGGACTTAACAAAACCGTTGAATTCACCGACACAGATCAGAGAATCAAACGGATCAAAGACAAGAAATGCAATGATGAAAACACATAGAGCCATTGGTCTATAAGGGGCAGGTGACCAATGTCCGTAATTGTGTCCTAAAACACAAGCTGACCTTAGACAACACAATATTGATTTATAAACAGCGCGATCACAGCGTAGGTCTGAGCTTTGACTGCACCAACAAAAAAGCAACTTTGAAACCGAAAAGCCACCATCTCTGATCCTGGCCATGTGACACAAACAGCTTTTGTGTGTGCACCCCATTATTTTCCATATTGAGCGACTGGCAGACGGACAATTGTAACAGCTCCCACTCATTACTTGCATTCATTTTCTAAAGATTGCCACATCACAGCCATTACCCGGCTCCGCGCCTGTCACAGAGCAGATATGGGAAAGGCTGTTTGGTGGTCATGACAGCTGAGGAGTAGGTGTGAAGCCCTCGCTCTAAATCCGCTAAACCCGAGTGTGATACTGCGGTGACAGGGCACCGCGGATAATGCCACACAAAGGCCAAAACACAGTGCACCCGCTCTGGCCAGGCTATAATGATGAGCGCCGGTCAGCCCAACGTCACAGATATACCTAAATTAGGGCTGGGGCGATCCAGGGATATTTCATGTTTCTTTCCCTTAATGATCAATCAAAGTATCCCTTAAAAAGTTTAGTTTTTATTGTAAAATGACACACAATCAATTGAGTATTTACTTTGGATACTGTGAGATTGAAAGGGAATTTTGCTTGTTCCTGGATCTGTTTTCTTTTCTCCCCAAAAGTTGGAGAAGAACGACCAACTCTCAAAATTAATGCTCACGTCAATTATTGAGATTGAAAAAAGTTGAAATTGCAGTTATTGGCACCGCCCTCACATCAATATAATGTTTATGTCATTTACGGCATACAACCAACAACAACCAACATTTTTAACTGTTCATTGTCAGCTAATCGATCAGCTTCATAATATCAAAACTGACTTAATGTGCATACAGGTTTACATTTAAACCTTATTCCACACCTGTCCCCATTCCACACATGGTTCAGTCCACTTCTATGGTCATGCTATACTAACGTTATCAGTTTGCTAATGGGTTTAACATATGTTTTTGGAGTGTACACAGCGGCTTCACACAAACCTGTCTCCATCACTGCGCACACCTCCTCCCTCGCTCCTCATTCACAAAAGTTACTTCGCTCTCGTCTCGTACAGTATCTATTCGGTGTGAGCAGCTGAGATCATGCGCCTACCAGAGTGGTCCCTCCTGTTGCGGTCCCTCTCGTTGTGGTCTTTCCCGTTGTGGTCCCTCCTGTAGTGGTCCTTCCCTTTGTGGTCTTTCCCATTGTGGTCCCTCCTGTTGACATACTGTACATCGACGGGAAAAGGGTCATGACAAACACTAAAGTCGACCCCAACCCCTGTTGTCTACAACTAAAAATGAAAACGGGCTAATTCTATTTCACACACATTGTAAGTGGCCTAAACAACTCTAGCTTTCATATAGTGTGCCAAATGTAATCTGGGAAACAAAAACAAAAAGAGAACTAACCATCAATATTATTGCAGGCAAGGCAAGGCGAGTTTATTTGTATAGCACAATTCATACACAAGGCAACTCAAAGTGCGGAACAAAACAAGGTAGAAACAATCACACAAGACATCACAATCATAAATAATCACAGTGGATTGTCAAGAGTGAAGATAAGAATCAAAAACAAAACAGACCATACCAGTGTCGTCCATGTGTCACAAAAGAGAGACAACAAAAGCAGAATTTAGCTTGAAAAAATATAACAAAAACACAGTGTGCCTGTTTGAACTGCGGGCCGACTTCATCTCCTCTCTGACACACAGTCCAGTTCGGGGCTATCACCTTAAACTGCAAAAACCGCTTTGTTTTCCACAAGAGGAAATGACTGTTTATCCAAAGACCTTACTGACAGGAGTTTATAAAAAAGCACTGCACCATATTCCTCCGTAATAGTTTTCTGCGAAGTACTCTGCGGAAGGAACCAGTGGCGATACATTATCCTTGAACTTCTTATCATCTTTCTTATTGTCAATAACTCGCACAATCTTCTTTGTCCGACTGATCAAAAGTACAGGAAGTGTTCTGTGGAAATGTTGTGTGAACTACCATCATGCCCCAAATGGATCTCGTGATGATGGGATGTAGTTCATAAAAGACACTCGGGCTGGGGCCATCCTTCACTCCCGCCTTCATCTGGAGGACAGGTGGAGCACCACGTTGATGGATGCTGCTTCTTTCATTACTGTGAAAATGGCAGCGTTTCTGGAGTCCCGGCCGCAATCTGAACCCCATAAGATGCATGTCGTTAAGCCTCGCGATTGTGCTTTTGTCCCTTTCTTGACACCGTTCAATCCAAGCCGATGGGCGTATACAGTAGTGGATGGGTGTAGTACCATTTTGTTGTTTTTGGAAGTCTTTCCACCCTCAAAAGATCTGGTCTCTGGTCTCTCTCTCTGGTCTCTCTCTGGTCTCTCTCTGGTCTCTCTCTCTCTCTCTGGTCTCTCTCTCTGGTCTCTCTCTTTCCGGTCTCTCTCTGGTCTCTCTCTGGTCTCTCTCTCTGGTCTCTTTCTGGTGTTAGGAATTATGTCTGGTCTCTCTCTGGTCTACGGACAAATGTCTGGTCTCTCTCTGGTTTCAAGACTAATCTCTCTCTGTCTGGTCTCTCTCTGGTCTTAGTAATAATGTCTGGTCTCTCTCTCTGGTCTCTTTGGTCTCAGGATAAATGTCTGGTCTCTCTCTGGTCTCAGGATAAATGTCTGGTCTCTCTCTGGTCTCAGGACTATTTTCTGGTCTCACTCTGGCCTCTCTCTCTGGTTTCTCTGGTCTCAGGACAAAAGTCTGGTCTTTCCCTGGTCTCAGGACAAATGTCTGGTCTCTCTCTGGTCTCAGGACAAATGTCTGGTCTCTCTCTGGTCTCAGGACAAATGTCTGGTCTCTCTCTGGTCTCAGGACAAATGTCTGGTCTCTCTCTGGTTTCAAGACTAATCTCTCTCTCTCTGGTCTCTCTCTGGTCTGTCTTGTAAGAACTTTGAATTGTGCAAATGAAAATATCTGACACACTCTTAACAGTTAAAGGTGACGTCTGCAACTTCAACTGTATTTTATTTTTGTATCTGCATATTTTTGACCATACAACTTCTTGCAGCATATTCCTCGTACTGTATGAACCGTCAACCATCTTCATTAAACTGGAACTGATGATAAAAAAAATTGACTGTAAACATTGAGCTGTCAAAGAACATTAACTTTAGAAGATTTATCCAAACAGGCCCAATCATTGCTTTATCCCCTTGTTATGTGTTGTTAAGTTGATGAAATCCATAATTCAACTTTCTATAACTTGTACCTGGTAAATAGATGTAACATAGATAGTAAAATTCTGTGAAAATGGTTTTGTGTGTATATATATATAAATGTGTGTGTGCATCCAGTTAATGTCATACTCCGCCCATCTCCAAACATCTGGAGCATCTAATTTTGCGAAAGGTGAGCGGGTTTATTTGCTTTCCCTCCAGCTCCTTATCACGAATTTTGCGACTGCTTTCTCTTTTGACCTTATTTTGAATTCCCTGATAAGTATCCCGCGAGTGAAATTGGAACAAATTAGTCTTTTATCTCGTGTGTGTTTTCAAAGAGAATGCTTTGTCACCTTGTTGAATGTAAGGCCTCTCTGTAAATGTGCTTAGAGGCTGCTGCGCCATCGGACCAAATTTGTTTTAGTTGCTGTCGTTGCTTATTCAGGTCACAGCAGAGGAATGACCTTAGTTTGTTCACTGTGGATGCTTTTAATGCATTATCAGATCCAACACGGGAACACCAATAAATCTGCTGCGCCCGAGAGCTGCTCCCATGTACAGTACAGTAATGCCAAATGTGTCAGTCCGCTGCGTGGAAAGTGGACTGGACAAGACATATGGTGTTTCATTATGGAGGATTTTATGGGCATATTAGTAGATGGAAGTTGTTTTTAAAGCTGGAGTACCTAACTTTGAAACTACACAAAATAACTGTGTAATACAACCCATGTACAGTGGTCCCTCACTATACTGTAGGGCTGCACAATATATGAAAAAAATATTGCTATAGCAATATTCGTATGTGCGATATCCATATTAAAAAATATGCACGATTATTTTTTCAATTAAATGTTTTTCCCTAATTAAAGACAACAAAACAGACAAACACATCAACTTTCAAAAAGAACAACAAACAAACAAAAAAGTATATAAATATATGCATTTGAATGTCATTAATTAATCTCTCGTGTTTCAATGCAATTCTACATGTAAGTGAAAGACAAAAATATCGCAAAAATATTTTCATCGAAATACTAAACACTCATATCGAATATCGCTCTAATTCCCAGTATCGTGCAGCCCGACTATTCTGTTCTATTTCAGATTTTTGTGTGTGCAATTTTGTATGTCTTTTTACAGCATGCTTCTCGTGTGCTGCATACATCATGAGTGTTACCTTGATTTAAAGTCAGAAGAACACTTCTGTGCATTGCAGTGATCAGAGGACTACCATGGTCTCCCTGTAATCTATGAATGGCTTTTGACAGCTGCAGCAGCGCTCAGACCTGCAACGAACAGGTTTGATATTTTAAAAGTGTAGTGAGGGGTTTTACCGCCTCGTAGCTGCTACTTTGCGGATTTTGCTTATTGCTTTTTTCCTGAACTTAACTCCAGCTATAAACAAGGAACCACTGCACAACTAGTCCTTATATTTCAAAACTGTTATACCACTAGTTTTCACATGCAGGTGTTTTTAATCTCTGTCACAGCTTTGGATCAGCCTTTTCAGACAGAAAATTGAAAAATAGAGGACCACCCTCTTCAGCTCTCAGTATGTAACATATAGATTGTTTTCTAATAAGATGGAGACAGTATGTGGTCTAATTTGTTCACACAATTGTACTTAAAGAAGAAACATGAGGCATTCTTTTCGGCCATTAAACATCATAACGAGAATCCATCCATCCATCCATTTTCTTCCCTTTAATCCATTTCTGGGTCAGGGGGGTGGCAGTCAGAGATGCCACCCAAGTCTCATAGCACCAGCCCCTCACTGACCCTCTGCAGGTGGTGAGTCCACAGGAGAACGGCTGCTCTGAGTGTGAGCATAGCCTTGATCTTTCAGTGGGGGCTTTGGGCAAAGTGGGGTTAAGTGTCTTGCCCAAGGACACAACGACAGCAGTCATCAGTGGGAGCCGGTGGAGAAGGTGCAGAGGTGGGAATTGAACTCACGACCTTCTGGCCTTAAGGCCAATGCTCTACCAACTGAGCTACTGTCGCCCATCATAACGAGAATATACTTTCACTTTTTTCAAACATGTTTCACTTTTTTTTTTTTACTTATGATAATATTTCACATTCTAAAACATGCAATTATAAAGTATGTCATAACGAGAATATACTTTATAATTGCATGTTTTAGAATGTGAAATATTATCATAAGTAAAAACTATTTAGTGAAACATGTTTGAACAGTAAAAAATAACTATTCTCATGTCACTCCTTATGCTAGCACCGGAAGGAAAAATTGCATTGTTTCGGTCTTTTTTCCCAAATTTGACAATACCGCCCTGAACATGATGTCATAGTGGTGCAATGACATCATACTATTCACAAGAGCTTTCAGACAGAAGGGGTGAGAAAACATGTTTGTGCACGAAAGTTCCTAATATTAGCGTGAATAGATCTAAAAACAGGTCTGTTTTTGATAAAAAGGAACAATGCGTAAAAAGGAGCGTTTGTTTTTATTTCAAACCAACACTATTTCACATTCCTTTTCAGGTTAATACAGGTTTGAATTTGGTTAACGCTCAAAGAAATCCATTTTGCATGATACTAACCCTAACCCTTAATTTTTCTGTTGGGCCAAAAATATACAAAACAACAACAAAAGTTGGGTATACAGTACTCCATCTTTAATATTTATAACATTTTTTGAGGGATCATTGTTGCTTTAGTGCTGCATGACTTGTAGAAAGGACCTCAAAATAAATCTCTAAATCCATTGTTTTGATTATTCCACATTCCGTCTTCAAGTTGCAAATGTATTAAAATTGCTAGTCTGTGCTTGGTTTCATCAACTTCCAACTCTTCTAAATTCCCTCAGAAGAGTGAACAGGGAATTTCAGAACAATTATGCACATAATCAGAAAATATTTTGACAGCGCTGCATCTTATTATCCAGAATGGGATCACTTTATTTCACATTGAATCATCTCTCAGTGGGCATTACGGAGGCTTTATGCTATTATCAGGCACAATGCAATTATTAATAGCTGTAATTATTGCATCAAGTTCATTTCCAGACTTCATAACAGTTTTTCCCACTCTTGCTTAAGTGTTATTTGAAAAATGATGCATGAGCTAACCGATCCGATGTATTATTGTAGAAATGTTTCAGACAGTATGGCATCAAACTCTCCATCAAGAAACACAGGTGACGAAATAACGAAGTAGTAAAAACTAATTTCAACATACCGTGATATGCATATTATCAGCTTTATGATCAATGTCAGGAGCCACAACAACATTTGGTCCATATATTTGACCTGTCGGGTTTAAGGTCAATATTATTTGAAATACTATAATTTCATTACAGTGGCTCAGTTGGTTGAGCATTGGCCTTTAGGCCAGAAGGTCGTGGGTTCGAGCCCACCATGGAACCTTCTCCACCGACTCCCACTGATGTCTGCTGTCGTTGTGTCTTTGGGCAAGACACTTAACCCCACTTTGCCTCAAGCCCCCACTGAAAGATCTCAGCTCCTGTGGACTCGACACCTGCAGGAGGATCAGTGAGGGGCTGGTGCTCTGTGTACTGTGTGCAGCTCTGACTGCTGCCCCCTGACCCAGAAATGGATTAAGTTGAAGAAGATGGACTATAATTTAATTAATACATCAGTTGACAACTATTTTAGAAATCGAGACAAGTTTATTGCAAACTCTTCAATAAGCTTGTCTCTAAAAGTCACAAAAGTGCAGCGATTTAAACCGTTTTCTTATTTGAAAGATCCTTGCAAAGGGACTTTGGGTTTAAGTTAATTTCTGATCATTTTGGTCAATAGACTCCATCAGTTCTTCCTTCGATATACTTCCCCATTATTCACATTGTTCGTGTTTCCCTGGATCCCCGAACAGTTTCATTCAACGCTCCCTGGACGTACAGCCTTTGATATCATT